CAATTTGGAATTATAATAAATGGGATTCATACTACAGGGTTCTGGCCCAATACATTCAAATCTACTAATTACTAGATGCAGAGTGAAAGGGGATATTTCAATCTTTTTGAAAACAGAGACAAATATATGAGAGGAAACATTGTGGAGATGGAATTATTCATATGCTAATTATCACTTATTAGCTGAGAGTCTCTATGCAAGTCACTTAAGACTCTATGTCCCTCAGGCAGTTCTATTACACTCTCCAAAACCACAAGTCTATTTAAATAGAGGGATTTGGCCTCCCTCCCCAGTCCTCACTCCAAATCACAGATCCTTTCCTACTCCCTGCACCTCTCCCGATACGATCAAACAAATTTGACTAAATGAAGTAGAGAAGAGGTGAATTCAAATTTACACAGTTAAGGCAACCTGCAAAAATAAATCAAGTTCATGACCTGGAAAAAAAAAAAGAAAGCTCTACTCTGTACGAATTTCATAGACTACCATGAGACAAGAGGTGTGAATAAAAGTATTTTGAAAACAAAATATTGTAGAAATTAGTTCATCTTAACAACGGGAACTAGGTCCTAAATTGTAGTTGATGAATGTCAGGTAACTGTCATCCCAGCCAACACCAACAAGGGAAAGGAGATGACCTGGGGTTATTCTGTGGGCTGCCAGACCCTGTGTTTCTTCCTACTAAACTGCTGATGTCCATATTCCTTCCCTGTCCAATTCTTTCCAGAATTTATACAGGTTTTACAGACAATAAAGTAAGGAAAGTATTACACTAAAAACAGATGGGCTCTGTGTTACATCACATTTTGACATGACTGAGGATCAAAGGTCAAGGATCTTGGGTCTACCATTCTATAATCAATAGCCAAAGGAGCTCCAGGGCTAGCATCTTTAATTTACTGCTTAAAACAAAATGCCAATTTGGTTATAAACACAGAAAACTTGTCATCTGACTCGTAGTGTGGTCTCCGGCGTAAAAGTGTGAGTCTCAACCCCAATCCTGGCCACAATACTAATCGCTGTGCATATCATGAAGGGCAATTCAATGGCTGTAGAGAATGGTGCTATCCTCTTTTCTTGCATGTGGATTTTTGGGGCTTGCTGCAACTCCCCCCCTCCCCCCCCAGTTCTCCTGTGGATATAGCAAAGGGAAAATGAAGCTTCTAAATTTTAAAATAAAACTTATTCTGCCCATTTTAAAGAAATTGGGTTTTTTTCTTAGTTGAAAATTAGAAACAAGATTTATGCTTGCAACTCCCCCAAGGTAATTTAAAAGAAAAAAAAGTTTTCTATAACAAATTCTTGTAAATCCTTTCTCCTTTAAAAAACAAACATCATTTAAAGGGATTTCCCTCCGAGCTTGGGAATCAAGGTACGACAAAGCTTCTATTTTACAATGAATATCTTCTCACATGAGTTCAATATTACAAAGATGATGGCTCTTATTTACATGGGCATATATAAGTTCCCAAGGACTGTTTAATAAAAGATGAGCTTCAGTTATATTCAAAATAGCTCTAGTATGAAGCATATTTTAAGGTAGCATAATAATTTGAAAACTGACATTCCTCAAATTGTTGTCATTTACTATCTATTCTTCTCTATAAATTTTCTTTTGTTGTGAATACATCTACTGTCATGTCTTCTACTTTCCATCACCTCTAAGAAAATAACTCACAAATCTATATCTCAAGCCCTAGCCTCTTACTTATTCTGCAGTCTCCTGTTTCTAATTGTCAGAATGACATCTCTACCAGGAATGCCTCACAAGCACCACCAAACTCATGATCCAAACTGCCCTTAAAACTAGTTCCCTATCTGAACTACTCCATTTCTGTCAGTGGCACAAATATTCTTCTCACCTCTCTGGTTACAGTCTTTTATTCTGTCTTTTTCTTCAATTCTCTGTATCTGAATTGTCATTAAGATATTATCTCTTCCTTCAAAAGTCTCCCTGATTTACTGATTCCTACCACAAGCCTCAAAACCTGGATTACTTTAATAGTCCTCTATAGGTGGATTTCTGACTAACAGATTTCTACCCCATTTTATTCTGTACCCTACCAGACTAGTCAGCATATAACATTATTTTTTATCAGGTGGGTCCCTTGCTCAGCAAATTAAAATGGCTTTCTACTGCAATAAATTATGCTAGCTGCTTTTTAATGATATCCATATTTCCCCCCCCACTCTGTCTATCCGACCTTATCTTCCACCTCTCCAACCTATGCTTTCCATTCCAGCCAAATCCATTCATTGTTCTCTGAGTGTGTCATATTTATCCCCACTCTTGTCAGTGTTGGTGTTCTACCCAAAACGGCTTCCCATTTCTCCTTCACCTGTCTGAACCCTATACGTGAAGTATGGCCTAAGGAGCTAAGTGAAGGTGGATGGACAAGAGAGGGCACTTAGTTTATAGGTATTCTACATACATGTGTATATAACAGATAGATATTTCTCCACATATTCTTGTGACATTTTCCACTCCCAAAGGATTGTCACCCTGACACAATAAAAACTGTGACTGGTTTGGACTTTGGTCTATACTGCAGTGATCTTCCTACACACCCCCAAGAAGACAATGTCCCATTACAACACACCTATGGCCTTAACAATAGGCTGTGACACCTACTTCTCTCTTAGACTTTGCAGCTCCTTTTTAATGTCAGCGTCTTCGAATTCAGAGTCATTGTCACTGCTCACATAGGATGACTGGGAATGGAAGGAGGTCACACTAATGGTTGGGATTTTCATCCCTTGACTTTTACTAGGAGAATCAGAGCCCAGAGACCCAGTCTTCCCTGATCGGTGTAAGAGGGCTGCAGCTGCTTTCTTCATGAAGTCACTGGCTGTGCTGCTACTGGGCAAAGAGGATTGTTTCGGGACGGAGGGCTTTCTTCTTAGGCATTCATCCCCTGAATCACTAGAAACGGGCTCACCCACTCCAACTTCAATTGAAGATGCTGTCTGCACACGGCGGACAGCTATCTTCATCTCAGGGCTGGAAGGAAGCTCATCCAAGTAGACATCAGGAGGTGCAGAGTACCTTAAGCACTGGGGTGATGCCAGAGTTAATTCATCTTGTGTGCTGACAACAGAAAATCTGCCAATAGTTTTGGCTGGTGTGCCAATGTCACCCTTTTCTATCTGCTTTCGATGGGAACCAGAATCAGGAGAACTGTGCCTCTGAAGGTTACTTAGCCCTCCATCTGTTGTGAACGTCTGCGTCAAAGTCTCCATGGGCTTAACTAGGACTTCAGGCTCAATTTGATCATCTCTTTTTGAAGTCTCCAGATGTTTTGTGACAACTGAAGGAGGGATGCCCTTAAAAGGAGAAAAAACAACACAGAAATGAAGAGATTCAATTTAAAAAATCGAGCAAACCCCACCAACACAAGGTAAGGACCCTCAAAAGAGTTTTGTTACCTGTAGGTTTTGTGTTGTGCTTGAGATGAATATTGAGCAACTGTGGGAACTTAATGAATCGCTGAGAGACGGCTCTACTAAATAAATTTAAAAAAAAAAGACACTTAGAATGTTCAACAAGGGGGAAAATGACTAGATTATAGCTCAATCAACCAACTGAAAACACTTGGGCTAACTAGAAAGTACCTCTACATATAAAAATAAAAAGCAACTGGATAGAAAGAGGAGATTTTTTTTTAAATATAGCTAAAACAATCAATTACCATTACATAAAACCAGTAACCCATGCTCCTTTCTACTGAACTAAAAAATATTTTACCACAACTTCCATGAGGATAGAGTTTGAGTTTTTATTAAATTTTATAAAATACTTTAGCACCTGTATCTTTTCAGGCTGCCTACACATTATATTTCCTCTCACACACTCCATATTCAGCCAAACTGGCCTCCATGCTTTTTCTCCATCCACGATATTTCATCTCCCAACTAGAGTGAAGTTCTACTTCTTTGAATCTAGCTTTCCTGATTCCCTCAACTGTTTGCCCTTCCCCCTTCTCAAAATCACTGTGTATTTATTTCTTTTATTTTTTAATTCAATGTGCTGTGTGGTTCCCAACATGCTTCTTCCTCTCTTCTATCCACCCTGCTCCCGCCCCTTGTAAGCTCCCAAAGGGCAGAGACTTGTGTATTTGTATGGCTGGTGTCAACACAGTAATTGACACAGTAGATACTTTTCGTTTGATCAGTTTTTGCCATCACATACACATTTGGAACTTGAGAAGACAATGGCAAACCACTCCAGTATCTTTGCCAAGAAAACCCCAAATGAGATCATAAAGAGTCAGACATGACTGAAAAACGACGGAACAACCCCAACAAAATAAATTTTATGACTATGACAATGATACAACTTCAAGGAAGCTGATTTGAACAGAGTAAGAGCAAGCTGAGTAGAAAGGGGGGGGACCGGATGTTTTTTACAACACTTCTACATCCTAAAATGAGAACAAGTTGTCTTGGGTATCAAATCTGGTCTCCAATAAGACAGCATGAAGTCCTAAAAGGGCTAGGATACTGAATTTTAGCTCTGGATCTGACTTGAAGTATGATTGTTTAACCCTTAGCTTCCTCATTAACAAAATGGAAATATCCTACCTTACTATGTAGTTTAGATCAAATCAGACAAAGTACACCCAAAAACTCAAAACCCTACATAAATACAAACTCTTATTGAAAGAGTTCCCTCGTTGATATTAGGCCAAAACATTTAGCAAGGGTCCAAAGGACATCTCTAATTATAGGACTACACAGTAAATCAATTATCAATGGAGGGGCAATGAAGCCAAGCCAGGTGTTTACATGAAATACTGGCGCTAAATAGACTAACATGGTATGCTTTACCCATCTGGGACTGTGTTGCTACAGAATTAAGCAGTACAATGACACACCCAAGACTAACTCAGAAGCCAGGATGCAAATCCACAAGGAAGGCTGGCCATGGTTCAAGAACAAGGAGGCAGTTGCCTGTACAGAAATGCAAGCCTGATGCTCCTGGTTAATTAAGGCATTTCTTACCATTACTAACCCTCCAGGAAGAATGAACAGCCACACCTTAAAAGACTAGGCTAATTTGATAGACCTGGGATGTTTGCCACATCAAAAAAAAGTCTCCACAAAGCTCCACAAAATCTGGGGAGAGCACCTGGGGCAAAATCGTTCTATACCTCAGTATTTAAAAAGACTTCTTTGATCTGGTCCTGCTTCTGTCTAGCTACCAGAAACTCCCTCCCCTCCATCCTGACAGCACTTCCTTCTTCTGTTCAAAAGAAGCCAGATTTTTTGGAAACCTTTTACCTTTAGTGTGTTACTGATTCTATCCCCTCACCTTCTTAAATAGTGGTAGGACTAAAATTTGCTTTAAGATAGCCACTTATCCCCTATTATGGAGACATTAGATCTCTGCCAGTAATATCTAAAAAGATGATAAGCTTAATTAAGGCCTTTATAGTGTTGCTTTGCAGATAGGATTTCCACTGTTTATTCCCCACCCCGTCCCCATGGGAAACCACGTATGTGCTAGCACACAGGACATTTTCATGAAAATGTCAAGGTCTGTATCCTGCCAAATCCTCCTGGTAGGCAGTTTCCCTTATCTACTTGAATTGATTTTGTTCATACAAAAGCTTTTCAATCTCATGTAATCAAAATTATCTGGTTAGGTTTTTTGGTGACTGCAACCATCCTTTGTTTGATTAAGAATTCTCCCACATGCCACAGCTGTGATTGGGTTCTTTCCCAAGTGTTTTATAGTGTGATTATTAATATTCAGATTATATATGCATTTGGAGCTCATTTTGTATATGACCTGGTATATCTTTAAAAAGGTTCATTCCAAATTTTATTAAAAATGTTTATATAAACCCAGGATAATTGCTGTCACTGCATGTATTAAGAGGATACACTATAGCAGACACCCAAAGTGGGTTAAGATGAAGTATGAAGCAGGTTAGCATACGACCTCAGAAAGTTTCCTAATCAGATCAGTTTGTTTTCAGTTACCTGCGCTTTTCAGAGAGCCGTCTACTTCTGATGGTCCAACTCCCATTTGTATCACTTCTGATGTTTCCACCTTCAGCAAGAAAAACAAAAAACAAAAGAGAATTAACACCATTCATAGCCCTTCCATCACATCTTTGACTGAAAAAAAAATAAGTCAGTGAGTACTTTCTCTTCTTTCTCTTTGGAAGCTTTGACTCCCTTAATTTTCCCCCTATGAAGAATAGTCTAATAACCTGGGGATCTCAAGAACAGGAAGAAGTTGATTTGTACAGAACCAAACAGCTCAGTTCCAGCTCACTTATATATCTGACAACCTGTTTCTAACTCAAGATCACACTAACTAGCTCATGCTCCTTCAAACAGGGAATTATTTGTTGTAGAAAGTAGGGGGGCGAGATAGTAGGGCCTAAGTGAGAGGGGGGAGTCATCAGACTGTGATAGAGTGCCAGGAAATTCTCTCCTGGCAGGTCTCAGCCATGTGGGTAGCTTCTCCCCCATTCCCTACTTAATTCTCTAGATTCCTCTGCCTTTTATTTGAAATTCCCTTATAACATATTCATTCAGTTTGCCCTGTGTTTCCCTCTCATATCCCACAGATGGCTTCTCTGATTTAGGGATATATTCACTCACCCCCTGTCCAGCCATAGCATGGTATGAGGACATATCAGCAGGGATGAATGATGGTACTTTTTCATCTGCAACAGAGGTGGTACCACTAGGAGCTTGGTAGAAGTCAAGAGTGGAGGTCAAAGCAAGAGTAGGAAGCAAGTCTTCACTCAATGGCTCCAACTTAAATTCACTGTCGCCCTGCTCTAGAGGGGTGCCAGCGGAGGCAGAAGAAGTGGGAACATACTCTTGGTATAGTAAATTACGCAGCTTCTCATCCAGGCTCTTAATTGTGCTGTCCACGAAGCCAACCCTTGGAGGTGGTCCTTCCCCATCAGATTCAAACGCAGATGGCAGCTGAGGGAGACTGGTTCCAGGGCCAGCGCCGCTCGCTGCCTGGGCCTGGCTGGGAAGGCTTGGTTGCTGGGGCATGGCAGTAGAGACTTGAGGGGGGCTTGGAAGCTGAGACGCTTTGAGACTGAGCGGTTCTGACATGACCGCTGGAGGAAGCATTTGACTGAGGAAAGGATGAGCAGTCCCACTTGGCTGGCTGGTCTCAGGCCCGGGAACTGCAGAGAGCATGGCCTGAGGTTCTGGGACAAGTTCTGAGATAGTCCCTGCCTCTGTTACCAAACTAGAAAGACCAAGGACAGATTCTCGACGTCCCCCAGTGCAGCATGCGACCTCCAAGGCAGGGCCACAAACGTCGTGGTCCACTTTCTGTGCAGGTGGGCTGGCAGGCTTCATAAGCTGAATATCATGAGTTTCCATCATCAAAGAGGTGCTGAGGGCAGAAGCTTCATACTGAGCAGCCGGTAGTGGCTGCTCGGCAGGAGTCCCAACCTGGCCCACATTCACAGCTGGCTCTAGCAGCACGGAAGCGACTATTTCTGCCTCATTCGGCAAGACAGCCAAAGGTGCAGAGGCCTGTGCCAAAGGAGTTGGTGTCCTGCTGTGGGTGTCACCGAGACCAGCTTGAATGGGAAGCTGTGTACCGACGAGGATGCTTGGCTGTTCTGTCCGTGACAGCAGGTCCTCACAAGGCTCTGGTTCTGGAATGAAAAAAATCAAAACATTTTGTACCAGGCAATCTTGCTCTGCACCTATTATTCACTTAACGCAACCTTTAAACAACCCAAAGCTGCCTTAAATTCCACTGGGCACGTCACAGTTCTAAATCAGCACTTTTACATCCATTATCTTATTTGTGTTTCCTCAAGCAGGACATGTAACATTTGCATCTCAAAGAAGCAAGAAGAATTGCCCATGAGCTGATTTTAAAAAAAGGGGGGCGATTTAGGGAAACTGGATTGACAATCAAGGCCCAGGTTCAAATTCTAGCTCTGTCCCTCACTATCTATATGAGCTTTCACCAGACACAATTTCTTTGGGCTGAAATTCTTGGTTCTTTCTAGGGTCCTTCCCCACCCTCCTTTTTATTATTTTAAACAAATAATTTCATTTTAAACAAAATAAAAAAAACCCAAAAAACTGGTGTTATAACACTTGGCTTATGGGGACAGCTCTACACTAATATGCTATGTGAGGTCTCAGAGCCGATCACATCATCTCAACCTTTACAGTGGGCCTAACTTCACTAATCCTACACTTGCTACAAGGATATTATGAAATGAACTAACAGACATGAAAGTACAGAACGCTGTAAACATAATTTTTTGTTAGAAGAAGAAAAAAGAGTATATACTATTATATAGGGGCTTTGTAAGGTAAATTTAACTTAAACTGAAGGGCTCATGTGAATAGGCTGTCCTTTAGATGAACCTTTCTAACAAGGGCTATGAGAATTTAATACACAGAGATTCTGCATTGATAAAGGCAAAGGATTTCTTTGATGGAAAGTTAAGACTTTGAAGAATAGTTTTCATTATGTGTTAGTTACTTATGCTGAGAGTAGATACCTACTACTTAGAAAATATGGCCTAATATACAACTCATGCTTTATAAACAGCTTTTCTGGGATCTCTCTAAGATAGAAAGAGCAAGATTCGAGTTATATAATTAGCCTTCTCCCCAAATGCCCAGAAATAAGACAAATTTACTCAAAATTCTGACATTCAGAAGGTACTTCCAAGGTCACATTATTCGACCTAACACCCAAAGGAGGAGTTCCTTCTACAACATCCAGGATAAAGGGCCACCCAGCTCTCTGTGGGTACCATTATATAGAGAATGTAAACAGAGAAATGAGAAGTAACCTACAGGACACAGAACAGAATAGGGAAAACGGAATGAAACCAATAAATCCCATCATAACACTACCTTTCTATGATGTCTTCAGCTGCAAAAAGGAGGAAAAGCAGTTGTCTGGTTACATGAATAGAATCCCTGAGTTGAGAAATGTAAGAAATGTCTAATTTCTTATTTCCCTACCTTGATATCCTTCAGGCTGCTGGGGACACAAAAGAGGAGGGGGAGAAGATTCAGGGGCTTCTGCTGTCGGGTTTTCTGCTACTGGACATATAATGAACCACCTTTTTCCAGTATGTAGAACTATGGGTATAACAAAAAGAAAGTCAGTCAATACTCTAAAAGAATTACAAATTCTTGGTGTTAAACAAAAGTCCTTCCTTGCTCTTATTTCTATTTAAGAAGCCTTCAGAGGATGTGTTTCATACTGATTAGTTTTCTAAGGAAAAACATGGAAAAGAAATGATACTCCACACGACATATATTAATCTTCTAGTCATCCTCTCTTCCCATGGGGTCTTTTCTATATGAATTAGGACTAGTTACAATATATCAAGCTCAAATAAAGAAACAGGAAAGAGACTTTATAGATGCATGAAGCACATAAGGAGACTTGGTTATTTTCCTCATTATCAATATGAAAAGAAATAGGAAAAGCTAAATTTGGCCTTTTCAGAGAGCCTCTACACTTACTGACTTTCTGATGGACATGCTGCAGATTCTAAATGATGTAATAAAGCATTTCTGGGCCATTTCTTCAGGGCTCTCTTGGCTGAAGGACCATTCTGAGTGAACAGCTTTGGGTGAATGTAATGGAACTCAAGGGCAAAGAGAACAGATAGAATAGATCTGTAAGCGTAAAACCATCCCATTACCTTGCCATGCTTTTGAATGGTCTGCACCACCATCAGCGTAGGCATTTTATAGAAGCACCGAGGTAAAAAGCAGTCTCTCCATACCTTTTCATTCTATACATTTCTTGTCAGTGTCTTTTCTATAAACCTTCCAAAGACCCACCCATCCCCACTCCAATACCTGGTGGCCTTTCCTCCATTTCTTTTCACTAAGGACTGCCTATTATTTCTGTTCATCTGTGACCTTAACATTATCTTGCATGACAATAATCATGTGCAAGTTTCACTGGAAACATGCTACTTCTACTGGCCAGTCATCTTTCTATTGTTTGGGATCATCTAGAGCTTTGACTCAGACAGCAGTATTCCATGATTCTCATCCATATCCCATGACCGGAGGAACTGGTATTAAGGAAATGGGTTTTTGAGGAATTTGACATCACCGAAAACACAGCAGTTTGACATTAAAAACACTGCAGTTTCCCACATATGGCCCAGTCTAGTCCCATACTGTTTGGGGTTTAGCTCACTATCTGCTTACAGTGCCTCTTCAAGATATAATTATATCGATGGATTAACTCCATAAGTGGGCTCCACAGCATAGATGCATTTCAAAGACATTCTGGACAAAATACATTTTTTCATACACTTTGTTCTTCCATTGTGAATGATTAGACCAATTGTTTTCACATTTCGATGGATTTTATGATGAGGCTTTGCTGCAGCAAGTAGTACAGAGTTATCTGCAATTAGGAATATTTAGACAACCTCACCATCAATTACAAATTCTTGTTTAAATTCTGAGCAAGATTCTTCCCATGATAATGGCAAAAACCTTAGGAATGCAAAGTGTAAGGCATGGTACATATCTGGTGCTTATTAAAAGTTTGCTGAATAAATGACTGATTCCTCCTACTATTCTCCACCTCATCTGTGGATCACTGTTTATATTCATTGTCACATCTGTCATCCTATAGTCTTACGGAAGTTTAGTACATATATAGGAGAAATCTTGTCTGAGGATAGCTTTCAAACCTGCATTTTTTTTCCTGAATCTAGTTCTAAAAAAAAAAATCAATAATAGATGCAATGGGATTTCATATTATCTAAAACTCAACTCAGTTGGACTGTAGGCATTGGTCTACTGAGCAAAATCACCTGAAAGTCTGACTGTTGTTCCCTTCTCATACTTCACTGACAACACCCTTGATATATTTATAGACATTTTCATACATTTGGGAGATGGAAAAGATGTAGGCTGGTTGTAAGTGATGCTTTCTTGGCTACTTTTTCCTCTGTAAATGCATTAACTGGTCTTTTCTATTTTGGGGGAATCTTCCCCTCTTTGACTAATCTTGAAAAATTAATCCCTGAATGCCTAAAATTGTGTTACCTCCAGCATAGATTATTCTATATGTTTCACCAGGCCCAGTTAGTCTTACTGACTTCCTTTTAAGAGTCATTGTCATTTCCTCACATTTATTTAGGTGATAAAAGTCCAAATGTTGTGAGGTTCCACTATCATTGACATGGAAAATCACATTATCCATATTTTTTATTGGACCTGTGATTTTTAATAGTAGAGGAAACACCTAACGAAGAACCCTTTTCTACCAATGTCATATGGCATTGGAACTTATAGTCTTAGAGAGCTGCCTAGGGAAACTGATGACTGGAAAGGTAACAGCAGATGTGTTCTATTTCATATCTCTTTGTTGTCCTCCTGGTTTTGTCTACAAATGTTCCTTGGACAATGTACCTTAGCTGTATCTTACACCAAAATCTCTGCCAGTTCATTTTTCCTTTAGATGTTTTTCACTGTTTTAGAAGTTAATATTGCTTATGGTCTCTAGTTATCTATGTCTGTAATATTTTGTAAATGTTCTGATCCTTGGTAATTTTCTACTTGGCAAAGTTAAACAGGTGCTGACTGTGGCAGTTTCTGGGCTTTTTTGGCCTCCTTCTGGTAGGAGAACATAAACTGAACTTCGTTAAGGAATGGTGATTAAGACATTGACTTTGCTTTTGCCCATTTCTCAGATGCTAGATTCCACAGATTGTTTAAAAGGGCTAAATAGATTACAATAGACACTATAAACACATATAGCATCTTCTAATCATTAGCCTTTGTATTTAATTTTGACTTCTGCTTTAGCCAGTTAATAATGTGGTGACTCCACAAGCTGATTCTGAAATGACTTCTATGCCTATAATTATTTTTGGTCAGATAAAATATATTTCTGTAAATGAAAAAATGTAAGAACTGGCACACTGAATACCTGCCAATCATTTTTTTTGAAGACTGGATTCATGAGGTCCAAGTGTAAGCAATGTAAAAGGCAGAGACTTATATTTCTTACCCATTAGATATATTTTCCAATAGTTTTTACTATCTTCCTTCTCTTCCTCTATGTTTCTACCTTCACACTAAAATAACTACTAGGCAAATACATGATAGGCATCTCTAAGACTTGATGGGCTCAGACTTATGACTTGATGTCTTCATTTATGCATTCAATGTTTCAATCAAACTAGACTACTAGCTGCTGCTCCCCAGTCTTATCATGCCCCTTCCTGTCCCCAGGCATTAGTGCAGGCTGTCTTGCATGTCTAAAATACCCTCTCTTTCAAGGTTCAGATCAGGTACTTTCTCCAGAAAGCCTTCCCTGAACTCACCGACTGAAAGTGATACCTCTTTATCAGATTCTACTTTGCATCATTCTCATCCATTTACATATTTTCCTTTCCCTACTGGATTGTAAACTCTTTGTCACTTTTCATCTTTGTAAACCCCAGTGACTAGCATATGATGAACAATTAATGTTTGTTGAATTGAATTGCTGAATAAGTATTTTTTAAGTTTCTCTCTTTCTACTTCCTCTGCAATAACTGTTGGTACCTAAGTTGCAATGATCATTTATCCTAGTCTTTTTGCTGATGCTTTTTATAAGCATTTCAAGGTAAAATGACCAAGTGTGTCATGCAATTATGTTTCAGGTGTCGTTGAGAGTGTGATGAAAACATCTCTTCCCAACTCCTTTATTCCCCTCTCCAAAAAGAATCTGGAAACTACTCTTTCAATTAACTCCCACTTTGCTATGTCTTTTGGTTCCATTTTTAGCAAGCACATAAACATGGATGTACTTCCTTTTCTCGAGTATAACAACTTGTTTCTTGCTAAGAAAACATTGTATTTTCAGAATCCTCTCACTTACATATAATAGATGTAGACCATTGGTGTCAAACTCAAAAAAAACCAAACAATCAAACAAAAAAAAAACAAACCAGGTACCTGCAGGGGGCTCCATATTGACTTACTGTACTGTATTTTTAGTTATTTTGTTAAACATTTCCCAATTATATTTTAATTTCCTTTGGGCCAGAGCTGAGAGCTTTGCAGGCCACCAGAGAGTCTGCCACCTCTGATGTAGACCACCTAAGAACTCTGGGTTTTGTGATACTTCTGCTCCTTTTTTTGCCCATCTCACTGTGGAAGCAGAAAGGGGTCACACAAGCCTGAGGAATTTTGTATTTTCGTCCATGATAAGGGAAGCCATGGTTAAAAAAAACGTCAGCAAATGTTGGTTGAAACTTCTGGGATTAACTTCTACTCAGCCAGTCTGGCCTTTCTTTAGACAAATAGTCTGTTACTGGGCAGATATTTGAAGCCTTCCCAAACTGTTCGACAGAAACTGCCAAGATTTGCCCTCTGATGAATGTGGAAATATAAGTACTAAGATGCCCCTGCTCTCTTACAAAGATGAAGTATTTTTCTCAGTGTCCAACTCTGAAATCTTTGGATTAATTGGAAAGACAAACTTTATCAGTTTTTCTTTAACTATTACTTTTGAAACAATGCCCAGTTCCACTGAATCCTCCATCTCTTTTCTCTTCTACCAAAGGTCCAATTAGCTTATAATCCAGCCCTCTTCATAATCAGCCCAGGATAGCATCCTCCTCAAAGTAATTAGGTTTAATAATTGGACTAAGACTAAGGTTCTTTAAGTTCTCTGTGTTGTGGACCCCTCTGGCAGTGTATCAAAGCTTGTGGTCTCCACTGTCCAAAGAATGTTTTTAAATGCATCAAACACAGAAGAATGTTTGTAAATACATACAATTACAAAGGAATTTTATATAAAATATAAATATATTTATACTGAAATATATTTATTAAAATATTAAAGAAACAAGGTCACAGACCCTAGGTTAAGAAGAAGGATTAGATCATTCTTGTTAATAGAAATATCCCCTTGAGTTTACCTTTGACTTACTGAAAAGGGGAATGGCTGAAGAGAGATTGAATGGCTTTAGGAAGACAATTCTCCAAGGGTACACCAAAAATGAGTATTATTGATCTGTATGATGAAGCAAAATGTGAAGGAAACTTTTCCCGGGGACCTGTACCCATTTTCTAGCTAACTGTAGTTGTTGTTTTTTCTGGAAATACTATAAATTGAGGCTCGGAAAGAAGTGGCTTGTGAGATGGATTTTGAAGGCAATGGGCAAATTCTGTTTTGCAAGAGAGCAAAGCAAATTGCAAAGCAAAGCAAATTGCAAAGCAAATTCAGCTTTGCTCTCTTTCTCCAAGAAGAAATATTTAGAACTGTTTTCATGTAAATTAATAAAAAAATTGCTTCTGACAGGCTTGTGCCTAAAATGCAGACTAGAAAATGTTCTTCTCTACCTCAGGGCTTTCAAGAACCCAGAATAGCTTCCACATTATGAGACATGAGGATAGAATTTTCATACAAATTTTTTTAAGGGAGGCAAGGAAGGTATGCTTACCATTTTGTTGATACACAGGGGCATTCACTTGAGATTGCCGATTCTCCTTTTTAAGGGACAACAGATTAGAAATTAATGTGATTAATGTGAAAATGAAACTTTAAAAAAAAACATCATGGTATAAATTGCAAACTTAACTGACTTAACCTTAAGAGGTTATCTAGCCAGAGATCAAAAGTAATTTCTTCTTTGCTTCTCTTGTTTAAAATATGACCTTTTGTATCTAAATCATTTATCCATTTGGAGTTTAAGTGCCGTTAAATTGAAAAAAAAATTTTTTAAAAATTGGTCACCTAGGCTATTTATATTAGATTACTATCTATGTCTATTATTTATAACATCTATAATAGTTACTAGTATCTCTACAAGAAGTTCAGTATGTAATTGGCCAGAGGTATTTTATCCCCTTATGGAAGATAATATGAGTATATTCTTTAATGTGCACCACAGACTTGCTATTCACTAACAGAGGCATAGGAAACTCACTTCTCCAGGGTCTACTCCAAAGGCATTATGCTGAGGGCTCATCCCTTGATCAGAGCTCTGTTCACACTCCATATCCTCACTGAGCATGTCTTCTGCTTTATCAATGATATCTTTCATTTGTTCAATGAAGGTTTCCTTTTCAGTCTGAAGTATGAATTCATTCTCTACCTGTAAACACAAAGGGCTCAGAGGAACAATTTCATTTTAAAAATAGGATTGATGAAGATCTCCGAGGAATATTGGAGAAGGGAACCCTGGTGATGTTGGGTCTCTGTGATCCCTTCTAACCTGGAGATTACGTGATTCCTTGATATGAACTAGGACACTGTTATATTGCGTTTTGAAACCAGGATGGGGATTTCAGCAATGTAAAGAATTCCTGGGGATAGGCTCTCTCTACCAATGTTTTTGAATTTATAATCTTAGAGATTTACTTGGAACACTGGGAGGTTAAGTAATTTGTCAAAGGTCAGAGGCACTAAATGTCAGAAGTAAAACTGGATCCCAAGTGTTCCTGACTCCAAAGCCAGCTTTCTATTCACTATACCATTTTGGTTTTTAAACAAAATTTAATCTGGTAGCATTATGAAAAATACTGGTAGATTATAACAGACAGAGAAATAATGTGTGTGTACTCTAGGATAGTAAAATAGAATGAAAACGACATTAACAAGGTTGAGAGACATTAAGAAGGCAGAGTCAGTAGGTTTGGGTGACTACCTGGATGTGGGGGCAAAGGGTTATACATTTTTTTAGCCTGTGTGCCTGGGAGAATTACAGGCAAAGACAGGAAAATCCAGAGGAGAGGCAAATTTGGCAGGATAATTAAGAAAATGGTATTTAGTTGAATCTGAAGCTTGGAAAGGGCAGCCAGGTGGTACAGTGGATAGAGTGCAGAACCTGGAGTCAGGAAGACTCATCTTCTTGAGTTCAAATCCTGCCCCAGACACTTAGTAGCTGTGTGACCCTGGGCAAGTCACTTAACCCTGTTTGCCTCAGTTTCCTCATCTGTACAACAAGCTGGAGAAGGAAATGGCAAACCACTCCAGTATCTTTGCCAAGAAAATCACAAATATGTCACAAAGAATTGAACATGACTAAACAACCAAACAACAAAGGAAGTTTAGAGATGTTGAGATTGTAGTAGAAATGTCATGCTAAGCTTTTATTAATGCAGTCCACAATTACCTTGGCATTTTTAGCAGCTGCATCACATAGTTAGCATACATTGAGCTTATGATCAACTAAAACCCCAGATATTTCTTTCATTCAAACTATTATCAAGCCAAGTTTGGTGTAATTGATTCCATAATTAAGTGCAGACTTGATCATTATTCCTGTTAGGTTTGGGATAGGCAGACACTCAAGTTTCAAATCTTGGTTTCGTCAGTCCATATATTAGATATCTCGTCCAGCTCTGGGTCAGTTACAAATTTGTTAGATACGCCTTTTTGTCTTCTTCCAAATCACCAAAAAAATATGAAAGAACAATGCCAAAAAGAGTCTTGGAGGATGCAGGTAAGTATCTCTCTCCAGCTTGATAATCCATTAAGTCATCAGTCAGATCCCACTAAGTCCTACAGATGCTTCCATATCCTTGTAGTATACAGCTATCTGAGTTTGGAAAATCTTATGCTTTCATATGCTTTCAGCTGAGAAAATGGCTTTTTTTTTTGCCCCCTCACTAATGGTCTTCTTAAATCATACTTACTATAACAAATTTTATAGTTTTAGCTGGAAATTTTTCTATATCTCCTCAAAGTATAATTCAGAGCCTCTTGGTCAAGTCAATAGATTTTTTTTTTTTTGCCAAATACAACCTTTTCCATCTTAATGGGACATTTAATGACTTGTCAGGAGCTAATTCTCATAATCTCTGTACCTAGCTCTGTTTCCTGCATTCTCTTTTCTATATCATACTTTTTTTTCCCCTACATCATAATCTTCAATTGAACAAAGGTATAAAAACACCACCTGTGACCTTCCAAGTCACTACAGTTATGTTCCAGATTTCTTCTGACTGTTTTTCTACCCTTACAAATCAACAGAACTAAGTTTCAGGTGGTATCACAGCAGGCACATGCCCCAGAGTGACAGCCCAGTATAGCCATGTCTAATTTTACACATGGGCATCTTGGTAGCCCTTGGTAAGGAGAAAACAACCTTCACAATGCAGTTCTCTTTCCTGGGGCTAGGGATAAGCAATTATTAGTTGCTAATAATCCAAGCATTACTAGATGTTGTTTCATCAGAAGATCTATAATTATCCTTCATGAGCACGATATCCATTAAATAACTCTGAGCCTCTTTCCTATCTCCTCTCACACAGAAACACATTCATCAATTCCCCAACTTCCTGACAACGATCCAAATATCTCTCTCCCTTCTTGGAATATTTTTTCATCCTAACCTCTTTCCTAGACCATTTATTGCATCATGCTAAGAAAACCTTTCCATTCTCTAGGAAAGCTGAACTTTAATGAAATAGATCCTCATATGTGCTCAATTTTTTTTTTCTAGCAGAGAGACTTGCTGGTAAAGCACCCTAGGAATGCCTCTCACGTATTTTTTAACTTCAAGCAATTTGAAATATGATTTCTCAAATAATACTGTATTTTATGTTATGATTACTCTAGATATGGTGCTGATCTCAGGAGACAAGGGTAACATCCACATTATAATGTTCTCTTCTATAGGAAAGACGAGTTGAACATGCCTACATGTGGGTCACTTTACTAGATCCACAATATAGGTTAATCCATGATAAAGTGAAATTCTCTGTAAGTTTTAATTAATTTCCCAATATATTAAAACCACAATTATCAAATTAACTAGAATCCACTCTTCATTTGATATTTGTTACTCTTTTTTTCTTCTTGAGACAAAATGTGATCAGACCTTTGATCTTTCCCCTCACCCCAAACTACGCAGAGTATAATCAGGGGTCAATATACATTCAGTCTCATCTTATACCTTCATCAACAGGCCTGTAAAATGTAAATTAATGCTGTGATCCCACAACTCAGAAAACTCCTTAATCAAAGAAAAGTTCCAAATATATTCTCTATACCAAACTCAATAAAGCAAAATAATAAAACTACAGTGATGTTTTTAAATGATTTTTAACAATTTGGTTGAAACAAAGTTTTAAAATTAGCCAACATATTCACTTAATCAGAAAACCCAATTATTCAAGAATCTAAAGGAGGTTAAAACATTTGATACAGCATTTATGACCAAAGGTATGTGAGCAGGGTTAGGTTGGATAAAGGACCAACTGCAAATCACTCTTTCCCATTCATGTGGACCAAAGAGATCTAAAGCCAGTAGTCAGAGAAGGCAAATGGGAATAGCGCTAGGTAGGCCCTTCTATCTTTAATTCTTCCCAAAAAGCTCCCTAAAGACTCCACAGCCTGAAGGACAAAGTAAAGACATTTCTTCATGATAAAATCAGATAATATTTGTAAAATGCTTTGCAAACCCTATTCTGTTATATAAATGTTAAATTATTATCAATATTGTTATATTTTTTTCATTGCCCCAAAGCAGATTAAAAAAATTTTTTTTTAAACTTTTTTTTGTATCATAAACCTTACTTTGTTGGTCTGGGGAAGCCTAGACTCCCTTCTCAAAATGTTTTTAAATGTATAAAATCAAAAGGTAGAATTACAAAGAAAACCAATTATGTTGAAAAATTATAAAAAGTTATAAAATATAAAAAACAAGTTATAAAATATTAATAACAAAATAAAATATTAAAATAAGTTATAAAAACTTACAAAACTGTTTTTAAAAAAAGTTCACACTTCCAGTTTAAAAATCCTTACATTAAGGGAAAGCTATAATACAAGTCAGTGCAAGATTTTTTGATTTACCATAGGAAATCTGAAAGCCAAGTCTTACCATATAAGTAGCAATTTCTTCTGGGGCATCCCCATCTAGGTCAAACTTAAAAGTTACCATTTTGTGATTGTGTGTTTCCAATTGGCACTCTACCATTTTATCTCCAGTGTTACATACCTAGAAAAGAGATGTTCATCAGTCACCTAAGCAGGTTAAACCCACTGTACATAAACACATTAAGGATACACACCCCCCCTTACTCACATTAAGGATAGTTAGTTTTGATTTGTTGGCTTTTTCTTGGCGTGAACGAGTGCGGGTGGATTTCCTATGATGCTTCTTTGAAGATTTTCCTTCCTGCTTCCCACTTCCAAATGCACCTTCACAGCTATCGCTCATTTCTTTTCCTGAAGCCACATCAGATCCTCCATAGCTTTGTCAATATCACGAATATTTATGGGGGGCCGGGACGGACAAAAAACAAAGCCAAACACCATATTCAAGCTTTAAAAAGGCAGCTAGGCTTTCAGGAGCAAGATTTTTTAAAACAACACAATACTACAATATTTTAACCTGAAAAATCATCATGCTTTGAACCTAGGACCACAGACTAGGAGTGAGACAGGACCTCAGGGGCCATCTAGTTCAGGTTCCTCATTTTAAAGATGAGGAAACAGACCTCGGCAGACTAATGAGACTTGCCCAAGATCATACAGGTAATAATCATCAAAGGCAAAATATGAACCTAGATCAAGACAAGATGGCGCCTAAGATTTGAGTGTTTTTAATTTCAAAAATTCTCTGATCCCAATTTGTTGAATGTTAATGAAAGACAAATGCCCAACTGTGCTAAGCTAAAGTGGAGTCTGTTCAAATAGTACTTTCAAATGATACTGTCTCTTATACACTTATCACGAAAATTGTCAATTATAATCATGAGTATCCATGCCTTTCCCCCATGAGCCTGTAACTTCCATGAATAAATGGACTGTTATAAACCTGCTAACTAATCCAGCACCTGATTTTATATACTCCACACAACACAGGTTTAATAAATATTTGTTGAATAAAATGCAAGAATAATAAAAAAAAAAAGACTAGACCCTTCGGTGCAAAAGCTTTTCACTGTGGGCATAGGGGGAGTCCCCCATAGTTCTTTTTAAGATCATTTCATTTCTTTTTATTAGCTCAAACAAGACATCAATTTTTAGTGCATTACATAAACCACAGAATTCACAAGTAGATATCAATCTGGAAAAGATTTGCCTTTATAGCATATTCAAGTGGTCATTCGATCTTTCCTCAAAGAGCACCCATTGCACTTTTGGATAACTAATCATTAAGAAGGTCTTCTCACATCAAATCTAAAGTTCTCTCTTTCAACTTCCACAAATACTCTTAATAATACCCACTACAGCCAAGAAGAATTAAGTCTATTCTCTCTTCTATTAGATATTCTTTCAAACATGTCAATACAACTTACACTATCTCCTAAATTTCATCAGCAGTCAACCATGTCTAGTTCCTTCATCTGATCTTTATATATCATGACCTTCACAGTCCTAGTATAAATATGGTGTCTGCTCATCTAAACTGAAGACCAAGTAGGGAAAATTCCTAATTTTAAGAATCAGACCAGTGGCTTTATCAACTAGGATAAATAATGGATATAAAGAGAACAACATAATGATTGACAGAATCAAAGCATTGATCCATTCAGGTCAGTGCTTATCTCTACTAGAGATACTAAGGGGTATGTTATAGGAAAAGATGTTAATTTTGACCTTTTACCTAAAACCAGTAAAGGGTGTTCCCCCAAAACACCTAACAATACCAAATCATATAAGAACTTTGAAGGGTTTCATGCTCTAAGCCTCTAGTTTCCAGTTTCTCCACTGAAAGATGAAATATTACAATGATTTGGAGAGAAGAGGAGGAGTAGTGTAGGGTAGTGTGGCAAAAATAACACTGAATGGAGAGGCATAAACCCTACATTTTAAGTCTGTCTCTGCCATGAACTAGATCTGTGACCTTGGGAGTGTCATTTTTTTTTTTAAGCAAATTCAGGAATCTGGACTAGATTCAATCGGTTACAGCAAGCATCCATTAAGTGCCTCCCTTGCTCAATTTGCTGCACTAGGTACTGGGAATGCAAATACGAAAGACTCTTTTGGTCTTTTATTGGGATGGGGGAAGATACACAGACTTGATTAGAATGAGATATTTACTGAATTTAAACTCAGATCATCTACCATTCTAACTCCAAAATGTTATGAATCAAGTCAGAAAAGAACCCAGTAAGGTCAAAACAAAATCTAAGGAAAGGAAAACATAAGGTTAAAGAAATTTATGAACCTTATCCTAGAATATAACCTGACAATACAGCTTAAAACATAAAGGAATATCTATCTGTGTCTGTCTGTCTGTCTGTCTATCTATCCTCACATACCTTTCTCAAATAGGATAAATTATGTACATAAAGATAACATAATTTAAGTATATGTATGTATATATGAGTGTGCATGGTATACATGCATCTATGAGCATAAATGTAAATATACATATACATGTAAACACATATGCACACATATATTATTTTTTATCATTCAGAGAGAGATGAGGGGCATTTATTTAACCATTCTAGACAAAGGAATAGTTCACCATTTCGTGAATGGGACAAGTGTAAATCTATATGCAGGCCAGTGTAACCACAGTTTTAGGTTACAGGGTGAAGAAGAATCTGAGGCTATGGGGAGTCCCTGATGAAAATGCCGCTGGCACCTGGCTTGGAATCCTTTTGAGTTTTAGGCAGAATTACCTTTCACAGCTCTGTAGGAGAGTTGGTTGTTTCTCCTGGACTGTCTGCTCCTGAAACAAAACGAGGAATGAAAAGGAGAAAGCTGAGCAGACCCACAAATTTTGATTACTGTGAAGTCACTGGTAAATAAAAGGTTCCCTAATTCTTCATAGGATTTTGTACATGGACGTACTCTAAACATAGCCTGATTTAGTTTAGCTAATGCAAGTTCCACACAAATTGCAACATGGAAACAGGATTCAGAAATGACCTAATAACAAAATAGATACAGGTTTCTAAGAAGCTTTTTACTATCATGTACTTAGAATCAAGCGGATTTTCTAAAAGTTGCTAGAATACATTAAGTGGCTGAAAACAAATCTTTCCTTTTCTCTATGCAAAAATACAGTCTCCCTCTCGCACCTAAAAAGGAACATAATGAGCTAACAGTGAGTTTTATCATGCGTCCTCCCAACTGCCATGAAGGGAAATTTTCTCTATCCACATAGCACAGGGAGCAGGGAAAAATGCTGAAGCCACTACACTGTAATGGGAACTCAGCTACAGTGTGAACTAAGAAGGGAAGTGGAAAGAACATTAAATCCATTTGACTACCCTAGAAAATATGCCTAAAGCAAGTAATTAGTGTCACAAATTGCTAGCCATGCACCTCTGACTTCTACTTAAAAAGAACCATGACTACAAATCATCATGGTTAAACTTAACAGTTTAATGGTTTGGATCAATTTAAAAATAATTTTTCTCTTTGTAAATTTTTGAGCTATAACTTAAGGAAGGTTGATCTAAAGACCTGTATAATTGATAAGACATTTAGAGCAAATATATTATACCTCTTGAGGTGGTTCTGCTGTCAGCTGGATAGTAGGATGTGGAATGGAAACTGAATGTCCTAAGGAGAGGGGTGGGTTTAGCTGAGGCAAGAGGCCAGTTGTCTGAACAGGCAAACTATGATCAACTGACACAGTCGTGGTAGCCAGGGTACCAGAAATCTGAGGAAGATGCTCTGTAGCAATGATGGGAGGTATTATTTCAGGCTGGAACTGCAGAGGTGGAGACAGGACTGCTGATGCCCGAACTGGTACAACAGGGACCTGGGCTGCAACGTCCACGGTATATGGAGGGGGGTGTCCAACAAGTATTTGCTATGGCATAATGAACAACAATGCATATTAGAGTTTTTTTATTTAATCCATGGATGTAAAAACCAAACTTAAAGTCTTTAGTAATAATGGAGGAAAACAATCCCACACAAACACACAAGATACCAGCACAATGAATTAAAATTATCCAGCTTGAGTTCATTTGCGAATTGTGATATAATCATATGTGCATATATGTGTATGTGTAATATATATAATATAGGTCAGAAAACTTCAATAAATTTTCTTATTGAACAATAAATCAAAACTCAGACTTTATATACTGAATACCATTTTATTTTGCGGCCTTTGGGGGGTGGTATATGACATGTAAAGGCAGTCAGAATTACATTTGATTTACTAATTTCTAAATGGTTTGGAAAAACTGGATAAGAGCTCAATATGCCAGTCAATACAAATTAGTTCAGTCTTGGAAAATTCCTTAAATGATCCTCAGAACTTGTTTCTAACCTGAGATCATCCTGGAGCATTCCATTTTCTGCCCCCAAATTCATGCATTATATTATTTCAACCCATGCACAGTGATCAAGTCACCACTGATTAAAAAAGAGGGAAAAAAACCCAACATAGCCACAAAGGTACGCACACACATATATACAAACAAGCATCAAGTAATCAATACTTGCCACCTGTCAGTTGATCTTGGGAAGTTTAGGTTTTGTTTTGTTCCCCCCCCCCCCAGGGGCTTTCTTTTCTTTTCTTTTTTTTTTTTAAAGGAACTGTTAGGATTATTTAAATAACATTTAGACAACAACAGGGACATAAAACCTTTAATTTCTGGATTGTTTCAAGAAAGACCTCCGTTCAGAAAGTAACATCATAATGTGGGCACTAGGGAGTGAAGATAAAATTAAAAACTACTCCAGTCTTCAGAAAGATGAGACAATGACTTGAGTTTTGCCCTCCTGTGTGCTTGAGTGAAAATTATCACCAAATGGGGATAGATGGGTTTCCATCCAGTTGCTTAGCTGACAGAGAGAATCTCTGCAGAAGGTAAAAGTAAATGAGGACCTGGGAAATTTCTTTCAATGCCCTCTGCTCCAACCTACTTCTCTGATTTCATTCAGTTATTTCTTTGACCTAGAGTCATAGGATGCTCGAGCTGGAGGAGACCTTAGAGGTCATGCAGTCGAACTCATTATCCTTCCTAATGAAACATTAGATTCCTCCAGAGATATATTAATGATGAAAGCACAATGACCTTGATCACCTGTGCCTAACAGCACTCACCACACAAACAGTCTTCTCTAAAAACAAATGTCTGAGTACTAACTACATGGTTGACAAAAGGCACCAGAAAATCCAACAGGGTAGATTCAGAGAGGCCGAGGAAAGATGAAGAGTATTAACCAAGCTGTGAGTACATGGAAAAGTTGGAAACCAGGACCTACATTTTCTTTCTTTCTCCCTCTGACCTCCTCCCTTCTTCTACCCTGAGGAGTAGGACTCACTCATAAACACATCCATCACATTTTTACTTTGATTTTAAGATTTTTTTCTATTATGAACTGTTAACTGCAGATATTAGATTAAAGCTGTACTCAAAATTATGTCTGGGAGTTTACTGTATGAACACAGGGTTAGCTACTAACTCTAATTTTACAAATGTTGGGATTTTTTTGCATGTAACTTGATCTAAAAAAATATCTAGCATCACTACACAACTGGGTCCTCTTGCAAATGACTTCTCCAAAATGTTTTCTGCAAGTTGCTCTGCAACAAATATTCATTAGCTGAAGCAGGTGATGCTAAGAGTGTAAACTTAACAGACCTGCTGTGACGTGTGATTTGTTTATAGAACCTTCACACAGAGAGTCCCAAGAAAAAGATAAAAGATATATACTTGGCATTGAAGCTCATCAGCAGAATAGCACTGAATCTTACTTCTCTATTCCAACAAGATGTGATTGCTGCTCCCTTTCAGTAACGTACAATACGACAGCTCTCATTATTTAAGTGTTGCCTATAATAATTTTCTTAAAAACAACAACAAAAAAAAACAAGACAACTTTAAATTTTTACTTATATTTAATATTTATATTCAGCTTTATATTTCTACCAATGATTACAGAATCACAGACTCAGAATGGGAAAAGACCTTAGAAGTCTTTGAGTCCAACCTCCAACATCCAAAGACATTAGCGGTTTTTGAGTCTAACATCCAAAACAAGAAATCCAGCTATACTGTCTCTGACAGATAGTCAACACAGTACCTCTTCCTATGTGCTTGCTCACTTTCCAAGAGTCCTGTACAACAGTTGTTTCAAATTCAGATAAACACAGGGTCACTAAACTGGACACAAGGATTCCTGTGGCTGTATACTGACTTAGAAAACCACACATGTTTATATTATTCCCTTTTTATTAATACATCAACACATGGAAATCAGATAGGAACTACATTTGAATCTGGTTCTGGCCACTCTCAAGAATATTGTGGGCCACATGTGGCCTGGCGACTGTGTATCTGACACTTCTGGTGTATACTGAGCAGTAATACCATGATGCCAAACACAAAACAATAACTCCCTTTATTATTATACTAACAGTTACTCAAGCTTGAATAAACCTTTGACCACCATCAGCCGGTACCATCCAAAGCAACAGAAGGGAGGTGGGGCAAGGACAATCCAAAAATTTAATTTTGGTGTCAATGACTTTTCCTACCATACCCAACCCGCCCCCAAAAAAACAAAAACAAAAAACAAAAAACTACCTGCATTCTTCCTTTCCCTGGCTTTCACTCTGGTGAGAAAGTCACATGGAAGAAAAGACTAGGAGAGTAAGCTGCTTCTGCATAAGTGAGAAATATTTCTAATTGACAACATAGATGTATTCCTGATTCCAAGAATCTCTTAACAGTGAACTCCTGAATGCCAAAATGAGCAGAATACATCAAATTGATTACCTGGTTACCAGCCCCAGAAGCTGGAATAGCCTGTTCTGAAGGATGAATTATGCTTGGCTGGAGGGACTGAGGAAGTGGAGGCAGCTGTGGCTGGGGTGGTGGCGGCTGCTGCTGCTGCTGCTGCTGCTGAGAGACCCCCTGTAAATTCTGAGTGTGATGGGGAGAGGGGGGGACTTCACTCTGAATAATTGGCTGGAAAGCAGCCTGGTATAGCGGTTGTGGGGGGAGCTGGGTAACAGCCTGATGGATGGGCAAAGCGGTAACGCCTTGTGGTGCCACGGCCAGCAAAGGTATTGTTGTGGCGGACATATTTGGCACTATTGGTTGGCAGGGCATGACCAACGGCGCCACAGAAGTGTGCGGGAGTTTTACAGCCTGTACGGGGAGGGTGGGGGTAGCCGGCAGAGGGGCGACAGGGTTTATGGAAAGGCTTGGCAGAATCACAGCTGGAGAAAAATACTGAGAAGGAGCAGGAATAGGGGGCACATTCGCAGCAGGTAAATCAGAGAGGTTTGGAGGAAGGTTGTCAATTCCTGCCAGAGGGGTGATTGGAGGAATGACAGGAAACTGAGGAATCTGAAAAAGATATAACATCAGATCAATTGCAGGAGTTCTCACTGATGCTATACACAAAGCCTCAGTAGCTTCCCAAACTTAATACCTACTTTGATGCTTTGACAGTCCACAATGTTGTCAGTGTGGGTATTGAACCCCACTAACGCAGATCACAACCCCTCTAGGACTTGGTTTATGGTCTTTGAGAGTTGCAAGGGCCGAAAAAAAAATCATCACCCAGAGGCCAACCTGGTGATGAGCCTTTCTGAATTTAGCCAAGGCTAGCTCTTGGATGAGACAAGGTCGATTACCAGGCATGTACCAAAGCCTTTACTCTACTATCAATGTCGTTGAGAAACTGTGGTCAACTTAGTGCCATGATGAGGGCTTGGAGTAAGATTAAAAAAGAGGCACTTATCCTATACTGATTATGGATGCATTCATCATTTGTTTACCTAAATAGTTTTATAGGATTTCCATAAACTAGAATCTTGATGTGCAAGAAAGAATGGCAACTAAATGACCTGGATTCAAGTCTTGCTTCTGACATACCATGTGACTCTGGGTAAGTCATTTAACTTCTTAATGCCCCAAGTAACTAAGGCAGGGGTGGGGAACCTGCAGCCTCAAGGCCACAGGTGGCCCTCTAGGTCTTCAAGGGCGGGCCTTTGACAAGTCCCTTTATGAAAGGATTCGATCTGTAAAATTTGGATTCAGTCAAAAGGCCATACCCAAGGACCTAGAAGGCCACATGTGACATCTAGGCTGCAAGTTCCCCACCCCTGAACTAAGGCTATAATAGATATAGATATCTATATATATATATGTACATATATATCTATACATATATCTATAAGTGTATCTGTGAAGGGAATTTCCAACATGGACGAAATCAAGTTTCCTCCTCCCTCCCATTATCCACCCTGCCCCCTCACAAAAAAGCAGTGAAAAAACAAAAAAGTTGACCCCAAGATGCTGGCTACAATCTTGATGCAAAAAGGAGAAGCAAAATTTTACTCCAGGGATCATTTTTCATGGTAGCAGTAGGGAAAAATAGTGAAAAAAAAAATGTAATTCAAACAGAAGGGCCAAGTTTACTTAAAAAAAAAAAAGCCAGAAGGTATAAAAAAATTATCTAAATTCAGCTGTTACACAGGAAAATTCTGATCAATGTCAGTTCTTGATTATGGAATTAAAGTGCTCTCATAAAGTGCAACAAAGAAGAGGCAGCCTAGTTTATGTTGCTAATTTGCAGGTGAATGTTCCCGAAGAAATAAATGACAAGAAAGGAACTGGTAACTCCAAAAGCAGGAAAAGAATTTTCATTAATGTAAATTGTTAGCTTCTTCCTTAGGCTAGCATTTAATACTTTAAATAGCTCTTATTTGAAAACAACCAATCCTAAGCTCAACAGAGTCAGTGTATACTTAAGTTACTTAATTCCACCAAAATTGAAGCTTAAAAAAAAAAATCAGTTTTGGCGGGGTGAGGGTGGTAATGGTGGTGGTGCAGGATTTTCCTTCCAGTGAAAATATTTCTTTGAAAACTCCTTACTGGCTGTGTTTGCATTGCAAACACTGGCCCCACACTGGTGTATGAATGACAGGGAGCTGAAACCAAATCCAAAACTGACCAGTCTTTTCATGCCTTAGCTGAACAGAAGGTCACAAATATTCTAACAGAGCTCACAGAGAAATCAATTTGTCTCAATCTGATTTTTAACCTTTTAAACCAAGTAGGAATGGGAGAACAAACATTTAACAATGTCTGTAAATTGAAGACTTGAATTCGAGGGTCTTGGAACAATTTATTCTAAGAAAAATTAAAGTTGATTTTCTATGATTTTTCTCTTTAGGAGAAAAAACAAGGCCACCTTGAAAAGAATTTATGTCAATGAATAACAGGCACCACTGTGCACAGCTGCAAGGGCTAAAGCAAATATATCAACAAATATTTTTTAAAATTTTATTTCAAAAAATTCAAGGGGCAGCTAGGTGGTGCAGTGGATAGAGCACCAGCCTTGGAATCAGGAGGACCTGACCTCAGACCAAACACTTGACACTTAGTAGCTTTGTGACCCTGGGCAAGTTACTTAACCCCAACTGCCTAATCCAAAAAAAAAAAAAAAAAAAAAAAATCAAAAAATATATTAGTAACTCAGATACTTCAGAACCAAACTCTCTAAGCCTTATGAACAGCAAAGCACTAGTTCAGGACCTATGGCAAACTGTTAAGAGCGTAACAGTAACCAAATAGGGTCTGTGTGCGTTTGTTTGTTTTTTTAAATACTCCCTCCTCAGCAATGTTCAATCCCTCCAAGCCTTCTTACTGAATCCCTACCTCCGATCAAAGACCAGCTGAAAATGCCATCTCCTTCAAGAGGTCTATCCTGAGTCCTACAGTTAATTCCCCCCTTCCTGCCCTGAGGACTATATATTTTACATACATCCTTTATTATTTATCTGTGAACATATTCTATCTCTCCAGAGAGAGCACGGATTGTTTTTGTATTTGTATCAACAATAGCTACAGCAGTGCTTGTGGGCACATACTAGGACAGGGCTGGGGAACCTGTAGCCTCGAGGCTGCATGCGGCCTTCTAGGTCCTCAAGTATGGCCTTTTGACTGAATCCAAGCTTCACAGAACAGATCCCCTTAATAAAAGGATTTGTTCTGTAAAACTTGGTCTCAGTCAAAAGGCCACACTTAAGGACCTAGAGGGTCCTGTGAATCCAAGCCACACAGAATAGATCCCCTTAATAATAGGATTTGTTCTGTAAAACTTGGTCTCAGTCAAAAGGCCCCACCCAAGGACCTAGAAGGTCACAGGTTCCCCACCCCTGGCCTAGGAGCTTAATAAATGTTTAGGGAAGCTAGGGGGCCTGGAGTCAAGAAGACTCATCTTGGCAAGTTAAAATCCAGACTCAGACACTTACTAGCTGTTTGACCCTGGGCACCCTTATTTGCCTCAGTTTCCTCATCTGTAAAATGAGCTGGAGAAGGAAATGGCAAAACTCTTCAGTAACTTTGCCAAGTAAATCACAAATGGGGTCACTAAGAGTCAGTCATGACAAACGACTCAACAACAAAATAAATGTTGATAGATTTAATTCTTCATGTTTTCTTATAATTCTTTTTATGAGACCCATACAACATGATAGATGAGTTTCCCTTTTCTTCATATCTGATGGCAAGGGAGAGGGGACATTGTAGGGTAGAGAAGACAACCATCAGTGGGGATAAATGGGGAAAGGGGTACCAATAAACATGTATATTTTGACAGAAGAGTAAGGAATGTGCCAGAAGAAATTACATGTAAGCTAATTTTCTATTTTATGCCCACAAATCTAGGGAATGCCTGTTCACTTTGATGTGTACCTCAATACTACTGGAAGAAAACTGGTGGATCTAGTGTCTTACCTCTTTTGCAAAGTTGAAAGGATGCACGCTCAAGGATCAATCAGAACAATGCATTAGAAAGAAAAATCATTTTCATCACAATGGACCTTCTGGAACAAACTATTACCAACTAGCAAATACTGAGTTAAAATGTGTGCTTGCTGTTTAGCGTTTAGTCATGTTGGACTCTTCGTGACCCTATTTGAGGTTTTCTTAGCAAAGATATAGGAGTGGTTTGTCATTTCCTTCTCCAACTCATTTTACAAATGAGGAAACTGAGGCAAATAGGGTAAAGTGACTTGCCCAGGGTTATATAGTTGGTAAATGCTTGAGGCCATATTCGAACTCAGATCTTCCTAACTCCAGGCCTGACACTCTGCTACATAGCTACTAATTAGAAAATTGTTAAATATCCCATCTAAAATTTGTGCATAATTTCTTTTTCATAGAGGAAACTGGATATTTATTTTTTATTTAGTGCTAATGATATAATGAGCCATGTTCCTTTCATGCCACTGGGAGTCTACTAAGTTTTATATTTTACATTTGAAGGCTTGAGATTTCTGTATTATAAATATTGGATGTAGGCAAATGCTACAGTGGCTCTACTGTGTCCAGTATGAATTTCCTTTGTTTCATGGGTTGCTCTCTGTCTTCCACATCACATAAACCAAGTCTCTCATCACATGACAAAGTTCATTTGTGTGTGTGTGTGTGTGTGTGTGTGTGTGTGTGTGTGGAAGGATATTGTGGTTTCAGGGAAGAGGAGCCTAAGCGGACCTTGGCAGAGGACGCATCTCTAATAGGAAGTGAAATGAGCTGGTACGTACTGTCACACCAGTGGTCTCTTGATCTCTGCTTTGAAACAGAAAATAGAGCAATGAGCTATCCTGGTTTCCAGCATCTCTAACACTAGCACCTGCTTCTTAAGCACGTAGAAAATAGTTAAGAATCAGGACCAGAAAGGCATATTACATGCACAGGTAGTCTCTGATGAGGGAAAAGGGTCAAATCAGTATCTGGCTAGCACTTAAGAGCCAGCGGAGCAAAATACACCTTGTTGAACCGAACACAGGGGAAGGGAATGGAAATGAGGTAGAAAGGAAGGAGACTTGCACATGTAACTTTGGGGAAAGGAAAAGGGGAAAATAGGTGGTAACATTAACATAAAAATTACAGAAGCTGACTGACAGCCACAAAATTAATTTAGGTTGCAGTATTAGGGAAAATGTAAGGCACTAAGCTATTTTTATTAAGTGTTGGGGTACATCCAAACAGGCCTTTGTAATGTGGTATGGAGGCCTGGACTTGAAACTAAGAAAGACCCAAGATTAATCACATTTAGGACATTTATGGATGATGGAACAAGTCACTTAATTTCTGAGTCTCAGTTTACTAATCTGTCAAATAGGTATCACATGACCAGCTCTGATAGACTTAGCTCTTCTCAGCAATACAATGATCTAAGACAATTCCAAAAGTCTCATGATGGAAAATGCTATCCACTTCCAGATAAAGAACTATGGAGTCTGAATGCATATTGAAGCATACTATTTTCTCTTTTTTGTTTTTTCTTTCTTGTGGTTTTCCTCTTTTGTTCTGATTCTTCTTTCACAACATGACTAATGTGGAAATATGCTCAATATGACTGTACATGTCTAGCCTACACAGATAGCATGCTACCTTGGGGAGGACAGAAAGATTTGGAACTCAAAACCTTATAAAAGTGAATGTTGAAAACTATCTTTACATGTAATTGGAAAAAAGAAAATATTATTAAATGGAAAAGTTTTTTTAAAATAAATAAAAATGGGCATCATGATATCATCTACCACAGAGCTATGGTCAGGGTCAAATGAGAAAATGGTTTGTTGTCCTGAAAGCACTATGTTGATATTAGCTCTTACTATTATTATTATTATTATTAATTATTATTATTATCATCATTATTATCAGTATGACCACTCAAAAGTTGACATGCATTCTTGTAAACTGTGCAAAATCAGTAATGTGAACCGCATTTCAAATTAAGCTCGCTCAATAAGTCTAGTCCTCTCTTTTTGGGCAACAGATGCACCTCAAAGAGCAACCCATTCACTTGTTCCCCTTTCTTCCCCCTGTACCCCTCCACCCCCACCGAGGTTAGGAGATCACAGTTTACCTGGGCAGGTGGCACTTGAGGAAGCGGCTGTAGCGGCACCTGTGGCATCTGCAGGGGCTGCAGCTGACTGGCAGCAGCCACCTGTGAAGGTGGAGCTGGGTACTGAGACAAGTGATGAGGTGCTGGCTGGTGTGGACACACGGGCTGACTGGCAAGAACTTGCTGTATTGGAGCTGGCTGAGCCAGGGGCTGAGGCTGTGATAAACCAACCAACAAACACTATTCACTATTCAACTGTCACACAAATGCACTCTACTGGCTATATTTTTTTACAGAAAAACTTTCTTACTATTTAAGACATTTATAATATACATTATATATCTTATATATCATATATAATTATTATTTCCATGGAAATTTTTCGCTCTGTGCAATAACACCCCTTTCCAATGACAGCAATCTCTGGCTCTCCACCGGCCATGAGGCCGGTGGTCCCTGCTTCCATGTTCACATGCCATCCGTGAGGGCAGGGGGTGTCTTCTTGAAACTCTCTCTCCCCCTGACAACTGTGGAGTAAGTGCTCCAGGTATAGTAGCCACTTGAGAAATACTTGTTAAATCAATGTTATCACTTGATAGTCTAGTTGGGGACGTGGTCAAGTCAATCATCTTTCCTCTTCCTTCTACATCTTCATGGACACACTCAAGGGTTGGTACTGAGCTTTCTAGCTCCTTTGTGACTGACATGGGATATCAGAGATGAACAGTTATAAAACTTCTTAAGGCATCTAAGTACCTTCCTGGGATAGAGAGAAAGTAGGCTCTGGTTTAGTGGCAGACACTTAATATATGCTTGTTTGCTTATGTAAGAAACAGCTTTTGTTTACTGAAAAGTGGGCAAAAAAACCCCAAAAACAATAACAACCATAAAAAAAACACCCACAAAACCCAATGATTTGGGAGCCAGGAGAACAGGTCATAAGTCATCTCTCCTGGCTCCATCACAAGCTTAATGTCAACTTTGATATCTCCTAAGTTCACCAAGCCTCCATTCCTTATCTCTAAAATGAGGATGCAGGATCACAGCATCTCTTGGGTGTCTTCTAGGTCTAAAAAAATTACCCCAAAATATGAACCTATGAATCAGCTCCCTATGTGAGGCCCTCAGTCGATCCCCTGCTCTTCTTAAATTCTCAGCTACTACCACAGGGTCTATATTAGTAAATATACTTTCCTAAGTCCCAGGGCATTCTCCTGGGTGGAATGACCAATGTTCCATATAATTTTCAATTCCACTTAATGTACATTATGTGCCTAACATGCACACAGCATGATGTGAGGCACTGGGTATACAAAGATAATTAAGATACAGGCCTTTCTCTCACAGCTTACAATCCAATTGGACGGGCATGGGGGCCAAGTACAAAAATAACTGATACAAGGAAGGAGATAGAGAAGAGTGATCTAAGCAAAGCACTATGAGAAATCTGAGGAGGAAAAGAAATTACTTTTAACTGGGAGGATGACATCTGAGTTGTGTTGAAGGGAAAGAGGAGTATAGAGTCATTCCAGGCATAGAGGAGGGTAAGAATAAAGCATGGAGACAGAAAATGGCTAGACAAGAAGAGGATATAGAGTAGCTTAGTTTGACTAAATGCAGGATACATGAAGAGTAGTAGTGAGATAATAAAGCAGGATAGGGAAGTTGGAGTTAAGAATGTGAAGGGCCTTGAATACTAGATTAAGGCATATATATTTTATGGGCAATGAGGAGTGTTTGAGGATTTTTGAGAGGAGAAGTGAAATAATGAGATGTTACATCATTCAGGTAGGAGAAGACGACATGGAGGGGTGACAGACTAGGTAGGAAGGCGGATTGGGAGGTTGTTATAAGAATCTAGAATCTAGACAAGAGAAGCAAGGACTGAAACAATGTCACTGCAGTGAGGGCTGAGGGGAAGGGCTAGATGCAAGAGATATTACTGAAAAAGAAACTCAAAGAAGGAAGAGCCAAGATGGCGGATTAGGGGCAGTCATCCAGCTGACCACTTCCATTATTCCTTTCCAAACAACTTTAAAGTAATGCCTCAGATTTTGGATTGGCACTCAACAAAGTCAAGGTAAAATTTTTCTGGCCTAGGAAAACTTAAGAGGTCAGCAGAAGTCTGTAATAGTAGAGCAGAGGGCTAGGGGAGCCCGTACATGTTGCAATAGTGGCTGGGGCAACGACAGCTGCAAGAGCTCTCAGCTCAGAGATAGTAAGGGGGACAGATAACTAGTTAGAAAGAGATCACAGGGGATCCTTTGTTGGTACTGGGTATAGCTGGTGCTGATTGGCAACTCTTTTGCCCATACACAGTTCTGGGTCACAGTTCCAGGGAGAACAGCGCTGGTGTTTGGTCAAAAGGTAGCAGAGGCCCTGGTCACAGTACCAAAGCAAATTGGAGAGCCAACACTTGTGGCTGCAGGGGACCAGGAGAACAGTGACCATACCTCTTCCCAGGTTCTCACCACCTTGGAAGCACCAAAACTTCTAGACTCTCAGAACTAGCTCTGAAAACAGAAGCACAAAAAAAAGCCTGAAGCTTGGGACAGTACCCCTCTTTCCCCAGGTAAACAGAACCCAACTTTAACATAAAGTTTCAGGTCCAGAAATAGGCTGGAAAAATGAGCAAACAACAAAAAAGGAACTAGACTATAAAAAGTTACCAGGGTAGCAGGGACAACCAAGATATAAACTCAGACAAGCACAATAATGTGAAAACAGCTACAAAAAAAAAAAGTTCTTTAAAAATCAGAATAGGTCAAATGGGGAAAGAAGCACAAAAATTCACTGAGGAAAAGATTTCCTTAAAAAGTAATATTGGCCAAATGGAAGAAGAGATAAAAAAATCTCACTGAAGAAAATAATTTCTTAAAAATTAAAATTGGGCAGGTGGAAACTAATAACTCCATGAGACATCATTAAAAAAGAAAGCAAAATCAGAAGAATGAAAAAATAGAAGAAAATGTTTAATATCCCATCAGAAAAACAACTGACCTGGGAAACAGACCCAGAAGAGATAATTTAAGAATTATTGGACCACCTGAGAGCCATGACCAAAGAAAAAGTCTAGACATCATCTTTCAAGAAATTATCTAGGAAAAGTGCCCTGATAACTTAGACCCAGAGGGTAAAATAGAAATGGAAAGAATCCACCAATCATCTCCTGAATAAGTCCCAGAATGAAACTCCAGGAATGTTACAGCCAGATTCCAGAGCTCTCAGATCAAAGAGAAAATACTTCAAGCAGCAAGAAAGACATAATTCAAGTATAGTGGAACCACAGACAGGCTCACATAAGATTTAGCAGCTTCCATATTAAAGGACTGGAGGGCTTAGAATATGATATTCTGGAAAGCAAAGGAGCTAGGATTACAACCAAATATAACCTAACCAGCAGAAGAACATAATACTTCGGGGGAAGGGGGGAATGGATATTTAATAGAGGACTTCCAACATCACTGATGAAAAGAAAGCTAAATAGCAATTTTGACAAATGGAAAACTCAAGAGAAACATAAAAAGGCAATCATGAAAGAATAATAATATGGAACTCAATAAATTTAAACTGCTTACATTCTTATATGGGAAGATGATACTTGTAACTCCTAAGAATTTTATCATTATTAGGGCAGGAATTTAGAAATTTACAAAGGTAAAGGGTATGAATGAGTTGACTATGTTGGAATGATCTCTAAAAAAAACGAAGAGGTGAGAAAGAGAGATGCACTTGGAGGAGGAAGGGAAAATTTTTCTCACATAAAACAGGCACATAAGGAAGCCCTTTTACAATGAAGGGGAAAATGAGGTGGGGAAGGGTAGCAGGCAATGCTTCAACTTCATTCTCATTGGAACTGGTTCAACACACACACACACACACACACACACACACACACACGCACACACACACACACTCACACTCTCTCTCTCTCTGTTGGGTACAGAGGTATAACTTACCCAATAGGGAAGAGGGGGAGAGATGATAAAGGGAAGGAAAGATTAAGGGAGGCAGCGGTTAGAAGCAAAACAAACTTATGGGAAGGAGTTGGGGTGAGAGAGGAGACAAGAGGAGAGAGAAGTGGGATGGAGGGAAATACACAGTAATCGTAACTGTGAATGGGATGAGCTCACCCACAAAATGGAAGTAGATAGCAGAACAAATTAGAAACCAGAAGCCAACAATATGTTGTTTACAAGAGACACACCTGAAGCAGAAAGACACACATAGAGTTGACATAAAGGGCTGGAGCAGAATACAATATGCTTCAGTTGAAGCAAAAAAAAAAAAAAAAAAAAAAAAAAAA